TCTTAGCCCAAGGTCGACCGCCCCACTTAGAACCTAACTTAGCAACAACATCTTAGCACAAGGTCGACCGCACCACTTAGAACCTAACTTAGCAACAACATCTTAGCACAAGGTCGACCGCACCACTTAGAACCTAACTTAGCAACAACATCTTAGCACAAGGTCGACCGCACCACTTAGAACCTAACTTAGCAACAACATCTTAGCACAAGGTCGACCGCACCACTTAGAACCTAACTTAGCAACAACATCTTAGCACAAGGTCGACCGCACCACTTAGAACCTAACTTAGCAACAACATCTTAGCACAAGGTCTACTGCACCACTTAGAACCTAACTTAGCAACAACATCTTTGAGACTTTAGTCTTTGCAACTTTACAGATCTTCTTTATGCACCAAGAGCTTGTAACACTCCAAAGAGAAAGGAAAAATTTAAATCGCATCATATGCGATTTTAACAACAACATCTTAGCACAAGATCGACCATGCCACTTAGAAGCTAACTTAGCAACAACATCTCAGCACAAATTCGTTGCCTTGAAGAGAACCTTTTAATCTTTCCATGAGAAGGAGGGATCTGCCGCCTTTCGCCTTTCAGATCCAACGTTTTGATTGGCTGATGCTGTCAGAGGTGAGATATGAGGTCTATGCTTAAAGTCTAAAGTCCACGTTCAGAACAATGCCTTTAAAGTGTTTCCTATGCATTATTCACTTTACAAACCAATTCCAGATTAAGCTACACGTGCTGAAAATATGAAGACCAAACATTAATGGGTAATACTGAGCATTGACACCTGCATTTACAGTATATACCTTAATAGGGAATATTGCATACCTTGTTGTATCACACACAGCACTCATTAAGTATATACAGTTCTGTAAATAACTTAGCAACAACATCTTAGCACAAGGTCGACCGCACCACTTAGAACCTAACTTAGCAACAACATCTTAGCACAAGGTCGACCGCACCACTTAGAACCTAACTTAGCAACAACATCTTAGCTCAAGGTCGACCACACCAAACTAACTTAGCAACAACATCTTAGCACAAGGTTGACCACACCACCACATAAAACCTAACTTAGCAACAACATCTTAGCACAAGGTCGAGCACACCACTAAGAACCTAAATTAGCAACAACATCTTAGCACAAGGTCGACTGCACCACTTAGAACCTAACTTAGCAACAACATCTTTGAGACTTTAGTCTTTGCAACTTTACAGATCTTCTTTATGCACCAAGAGCTTGTAACACTCCAAAGAGAAAGGAAAAATTGAAATCGCATCATACGACCCTTTTAACAACATCATCTTAGCACAAGATCGACCACACCACTTAGAAGCTAACTTAGCAACAACATCTTAGCACAAATTCGTTATCTTGAAGAGAACCTTTTAATCTTTCCATGAGAAGGAGGGATCTGCAAGTTGGCGCCTTTCAGATCCAACGTTTTGATTGGCTGATGCTGTCAGAGGTGTGATATGAGGTCTATTTGCATAGCTTAAAGTCCACGTTCAGAACAATGCCTTTAAAGTGTTTCCTATGCATTATTCACTTTACAAACCAATTCCAGATTAAGCTACACGTGCTGAAAATATGAAGACCAAACATTAATGGGTAATACTGAGCATTGACACCTGCATTTACAGTATATTCCTTAATAGGGAATGTTGCATACCTTGTTGTATCACACACAGCACTCATTAAGTATATACAGTTCTGTAAATTGACACAAGGGAGGTTTGGTCAATTTTGTGTGAATGCATGTGAAGATGTGTTTTTCCTTTGTGGCTTTGGCCTCCTGTGAGGGGGATTTACGATCATTCACACTTTGATAAGAGTGAGGGAGAACAAAGCAGTTCCTGAGCGGGGGTTACTGTAGGTTCATTTTAACCCCCCTCTCAACAACAGGTAGTGTCATTCCTTTGTTGTCCACAGAGCCTGATCACATCAAAATATAACTTTCCACACATTGTGTGGAAAGGAGTTTTGCCATCTTGACCGCTGTTCACTACAACACTTATTAGCTGTACAGCACACATTATGTGCTTTTTATTGAAACAAATCCTTCTGTGTTTCAGAGACATTCTGCCCACTAAAGCACCCACCGAAGAGCTCATTGAAACAGAGGAACCTCTGGAAGATTATGAAGATGTTTATAATGAGCAAAACATAGAACCAATCACTGAACCCAGTCAACCTGATGACACTGAACGATTTACAGGAGAGCACAAAGAGGACCATACCGAGCCCCCGAAGACTAAAGGTGGTGAATCCAAATTTTACTGCCCAATTAAATCCCTCATATAGCTGCTCTACCATTTTTTAAGTTGCATATATCTCTGACGCAGTACTGTGGATGTACCCTCACTCATATTAAAAATGCACAAGCTGTTTTTATACCGTTTCTCTGACAGAGTTCAGTATTGGGAATTACTCGAGTGTACTGTTTGTTTCCAACAGCACGATGCTTCCTTGAGAAAGATTCTGGCCATGTGTGTGGATCGTATATGTCCAGATGGTACTACAGCCAGCAGACTAAGAAATGCATGCGCTTCTGGTACAGTGGTTGTGGCGGAAATGAAAATCGATTCTTGACAGAGGATGAGTGCTTTAGGGAATGTGTGTCTACAGGTAAATTTACCAAACTTTGTTACAGCCTGATATTTAGGCAGTTCCTAATCCATTTTTTTAAATTGAAGTAAATTCTGATTATTTACTTTTTATTTAACCCTTGTGCTGTGCTGAAAATCCTTTTACCTAACTTGGTGTTCCCAGTCAAAAATGAACAGCCTTTAAAAAATTGCTTGTAAATTCCTCATTAAGGGAGTTAACTAGTTAACTGAGGTTCGGGAGCGAGGCCACGCCTCTACCAATCACTTCACTTCCCGAATCCTTCATATATCGGGCCGCCTCATACCGCGCTGTTTGTCTCTTTCTCTCGAATGACAGACGGACTTGCCTGGTCCGGACGGCGTTCTGTTCGATTCAATGCTTGATGAACGCCTCTCATCGTCCCAAACGCAGTTGTTTTTCCGTTCGGTCGCGCACATTCCTGGGCTCGTGAGTGTTTCACTCCCAGGCTCCTCTCGGGAGGACTCTGAGCTGTTCCCGGGCTCAGCCCTCTCCGTCAGTGGGATCTGCGGGCCGCAGTGGTGGATGCGGAAGATGGAGTCCTCGATCTCCTCGCATGCCGCTTCTCCGGCGCTCAACTTCCAATAGCTTTCCTCTTCGCTCCCGTCGCACGTCTTCCAGAGCTGAGGACAACATCAGTAACTGAACCACGGATCACCTTCAACACACACTTAAATCCAGCTATCCAATTTTATTCTTGTGCAGATAACAAACAATTATTCCAATTATATTCAGTATCAATAAAACTTCTGTCATAACAAACTTTGAGCCTTCAGCACTTCCGGCAACTCCTAGCAAGTCACCTGAGATTATCTTGCTATAGGGAGATGAGAGGGTCTGTATTACTTAATATTGGAGAAAGTGTAACGCTAACTTGGATCAAGTGTCCCTTAATAACCAATCACAATACAGCCTTGACGTCACTGAATTTCAGTCAGAGTTGTGCGACACTCAAATCGGCGTTTATGGATCCCATAGGAATGAATGAGAAGTGCCGTAAGCTGAATCCCAACTGTCTCAAAAAGTCAGTGACTTCTCTTATAAAACGGCATTTTTTTTGTGGTAAACTCTAAAAATAGTTCAATCCAAAAGTATTGTTTAGTGTAAAACATGTTGAAGATTAGCAGATAGGCTGTCGATTCATTAAACGATAAGCCGTTTCCTCTAAAAAGCTGTTTATTCAGCCTCTCCTCCATTGATGTCCATAAAAAAAACGGCCTCTGGTCTCCTTTCCCTCGTACTGCCAGACCGGAAGCGTTAGCTTTAGCCATTACGCTTTTTCGGCTAATGGTTGCAAGCTTGCCTTCTAGTGGCTTTGGAGTCACTCTCCGTCACATGTGACGTCACGAGAAATTCTCCTCCAAAGCATCAGACAGCAGCTCCCCATAGCGGCAGGCAAGTTGTAATTCCGCCTGCACTTGCTCAATCTGATATCTCCCAAAATTCTTCTCTTCTCTATGCTCACAGTTGCTCATAAAAACTCAGCTCACAAAAACATCCTTTCATCCCAACATCCATTCCTATACACCTTCCCTTCAACCTCAACCATCCTTCTCACGCAAAACTACAGTTTCAACCGCTTATCGGTTGCAGCTCCGCCCCCTTCAGTTATTCCTAAGCGCCATCAAACTCATTTATCTAGCAGGCCATGGAGCTCGGCTCGCCAAAGCTGATACCACCAACGCCTTCAAGTCTTACCTATCCATCCAGATTTCTAGCGATCCTTTGGAGTCTTCTGGAAAGGTCCCTATTACTTTGCTGTACGCCACACTTTAGGCTGCAGAAGCAGGCCTAGAATTGTTTAACTGTCTCTCCGAAGCACTATGCCGGATTTCCCCAACAACCACATACTCCCTTACATCCTTCACCTTATTGACGACTTCCTCACGTTAAACCTCCATCGCACCACCGCGATCAGGACTTCCACACTAATTAAGGTTTTCACCAAACTCAGCGTTCCATTTTCAGAGCAGAAAACCTCAGGACCTCATACCACCATCGAGTTTTAGGCATCACCCTTGACTCATTTAAATCTCATTAATTTCAAACATCTCCACCCTCTACAAATTCCACCGAATCTCACTGCTTCTTTCCAACTTATATTAACAGATAGATGTACAAGCGTCAGCTACTTGCACTTCTAGGCCACCTCAACTATGACATATGGATAATTCCTCAAGGGAAATCCTTCTTGTCCAACCTTCTGTCTAAAGCAGCAGCCATCCCATCTCTCCACAACAGAGTCATATTAGATAATGCATGCAAATGGAAATGCGCCAGAACAGCATCTCTCATCTCGATGACTTCCAACTATATACTGATGCAGCACCCTCAATAGGCTTCGACGGCCATATTACGGTGGGCACTGGTTTTCCTCCGAACGACCTCCGGAGTTCAGTTCCCTCAGTCCGCAGTCAAGCGCTTTCTCCACCAGATTTATGAAATATATCATGGCAGCCATCCTTTGGGGGCACGAATGGTCCAGAAAATCAATACCCATCTACTCAGACAATGCAGTGGTAGTTAAAAATATAATAATATTTCCTTTCCATCAACCGACATGCTGCCCTTGCAACTTAATTTCTTACGCTCATTCCTTCTTAAAAGATCCGAACGTGCTCTTTCCAAGCCTACTTATCAAGAATCAACTTCTTCTATAAACTAACCACTGGCAACAATTGCCCTGCTATCTCTCATTCTCACACATCCATGCTCGTTAAAGGCTTACGAAACAAGAACCTATGACAAACCACCAAACGCCTTCCACTAACCACTAACCTACTTAGCCTCTGCATAATCTCATACGATCATGCTATCCAAATCCCAAGACTGATCAAACTTTAGACTTCATGTTCTCGCTAGCATTCTTCGGCTTCCTACGATGCTCAGAACTCGCTCTGACTCCTCTACATTCAATCCTTCTATCCACTCCTGTATTTTGGAGATTACTATCCACTCCTCAGATACTCTCATCATCACCCTTCGAAGAAGCAAACTGACCAATTAGGAACATAGTTTCCTATCTACATCTTCTGTCCATACTCCTTCTGAGCTCTTTCGAATCTATTTCCGAATATGTCCGCTCTTGACACGCAGGCCAAGCACTTCCTAAAGATTTGCTGTTCCTTACAGAAACCGGAAAGTGGCCACAAGATTCAGCAACATCAGCAACCAGATGTGGAGTCTCCGATGAGACTATTCGAACCCTTGGCCCGCTGGTCATCTCGAGCATACCACGCCTACATCCGCAACAATATCAAGTTCTCCGTCAAGCCCAAGCTTACCTCAGCTCTTCCCAACTTAGGGAGTCCTAATCGTCTGGCCTAAATATACAAACAAGATGAAACCCCCATCCCGAGTCTCTCCGGGCCATCAATTCCAGACGCCCAGATCAGCCTGACCATCATCCTATCCCCTTTACCTTTTCATCCTCTTCCAACTCATCCCTAACATTCTGAACCATAAACTATTAATTTACATATTTGGTTGTGGTGTGGTCCTTGCTCGTGAAAGGGAGTTAACTAGTTAACTGAGGTTCAGGAGCGAGGCCACGCCTCTACCAATCACCTCACTTCCCGAATCCTTCATATATCGGGCCGCCTCATACCGCGCTGTTTGTCTCTTTCTCTCGAACCGACCCTTCCCTCCCCTTTAATCACATCAGCTATCCTCATTCTCTTCATCCTCTTCCAACTCATCCCAAACATTCTGAAAAATAAACTATTCATTTACATATTTGGTTGTGGTGTGGTCCTTGCTCGTGAATGCTATATTATCAGCAAATCTTGGATTAGTTTTTTTTGTCAACTTGTTTTCTTTGAATTAGCACTGGTTTTTATAATATGCCCAATTGATCTGAGCTTATGCATCTCAGTTTTTGAGTGAAAAAATGCATTATTTGTGGATAATCTTAGATCAATGAGGCATACAACCAGTCAGCTTTAAAAAGAAACATAATCTGTGCTAACTAAAAGAAAATACATTGATAGAAAGAGTAAATCCAATATTTGGTAATAATATAGCATAATAAGAGGTTAACAAGCAATTTCGTTGTAGACTGGCAATTTTTGGCCAGGAACACCGCAAGTGTAACGAAGTAGGGAAAAAATTAATAAAACGTACTGTATAATAATTATCCAAAGGGTTGTTGTTATACCCATGTGTGAGTGAAGTCAATAGGGTTTAGTGCAATGCGAGAACATTAACTAGCCTTTTTGGGGAAAAGAAAAACCTCTCCAGGCCAAAATGACCAGAACATAACATGAGGGTTAAGTTATTATTATTATTATTTTGAATATATGAATATTTAATGAATAAAATTATACATTATGCATTATTTTCTCTTTTATATACAGGAATTTAGCCATTTATACTAATTTACTAAATTCATATATTTTTAATGGATTTAATGGATGGGTTGTTTTATGTAGGCCATTTACCTATGCAGAGTTTTAAGATTTGTTCAAATTTCTCCCACAGAATCTGAAAATCTTCCACAGGATGATTCCATTTCCAAGGGTAAAAGATACATTTACTTGACGGATATGCCATAGACTACCAACGTTTTTAAATAAAGATAATTATATTTTCTATAACCTAAACCAAACCATAAAATATTTAGCATTTTTAGAATTTAAACAAGTTAATTTTTTTAGACATATGAGGAGCATCCCTCATTCACTAAAACCATCTTGCAAATCAAGTATAAAATTATTGCTGAACTCAATATGCATGGTAAAATATGCAAGTATTAAAAGTGTGACTTTTTTAAATTGCCTCAAACTGATCAGCCTGATCATCACTCTGCAACTTAAAACCTTTATTTCTTTATTTTCCTTCTGCTCATAGACATTTGCCAGCTCAAACTCGACGCAGGAACTTGCTCAAACTTTTCAGTGAAATGGTACTACGACGTCAGCAGTGGCCAATGTGTCCGGTTCTGGTACGGAGGCTGTGACGGGAACAGCAACAGATTCAACACTCAGAAGGACTGTGAGATTCGCTGTCTCAGGGCCAGAAAAGTATCTCCAAACATCTAAACTGTGATATCTATTGAATTTACAAAGAATTCAGAATCCATTTATGTACTTTTGGCAGCTTCTGCTTTCATGATCATATTCTCATCACGACTGTCAAAGGACAGACCTAGAAGCGGTTTAGCTAAATGTAAATGTATATTTATCTAAATTTGAGTGTAGGAAAGATTTGATTACAAGAGCAGAATTTGTTTAAAGATGAAGTTTATAATGATGCATCATTAGCATCACCAGAAAGAACGGCAAAAATAATGGTTCAGTTTTAATAATTTCAGCCATTGCTTTATTAAACGATTAGGCCCACCTGAAACTCACGCCATTGGCTGAGACAATGTTTTTGACATCTTAAACGCACGGATTACACTTCTGTTTGGTGCCATTAGTAGTGTAGAAAAACATTCTTCACCTTTAATGTAAAGTGTAGATGTTTGTTTTAATCACCTTTATAAAACCTAATTTTCACTGAATTCCTTAAGTGAATTGTCCATGTTTTTTTTTGTTTTTTTTAATGCACATTGCCATCAAGACGACTGTTAAGACACTATGAAAATAAGAATGTGTTGTACACATTTTTATTTAAGGAGCCTCACTTTTTTTCTAACAAGTGTTTCTGGAAAGCCCCTGGATATATAGTAAAATCAAAAAACAGTCTAAACCGTTAACATTTTTAGGGGATGTCAGCCACTAAACATTTAGTGATTGAGAAAAAAACAACAACATTATACTGTAGGTTAGGTATCCTGACAAAATTTTGACACATTTGATAGTTTGATCTGCTGTTGCATGTATTTTTTAGGGTTAGGATGAATGCCAGAAGAGGGCGCTGTCTCATAAAGTGTGCTTTTTCAATGTTCAAAATGCATTCTCTCTTCCTCAGTTTAAAGGAATAGTTCACCCAAAAAGTAAAAGTGTGCTTAAAATGTACTCGCCCTCAGTCCCTTGAAGTCCATTGGAGAAATGTAGCACTAAATCACTTGCTCACCAATGGATCCTCTGCATTGAGATGGTGCTGTCAGAATGAGAGTCCAAACAGCTGATAAATCAACAAATCCATCAAGTGATTTTTAACGAGTCTTCTATCCATAATACTTCATTCTTATTCTGAATCAGGAGAGAAATGTGCAGTTTGAAGTTAAAAATATTTTGATGAATTTGTTTCTTAAAACTACTTGCTTCACAAGATGTTAACTGATGGACTGGAGTGGTGTGGATTACTTGTAGATTATTGTGATGTTTTTATGAGCTGTTTGGACTCTCATTCTGACGGCACCCATTCACTGCAGAGGATCCATTGGTGAGCAAGTAATGCAATGCTAAATTTCTCCAAATCTGTTCCCATGAAAAAACAAACTCATCTACATCTGATGGCTTGAGGGTCAGTACATTTTCCACAAATTTTCATCTTTGAGTGAACTATTCCTTCAGTATGCAGAGACAGCTATAAGCAAAACATTTAAAGGTTGATTAACCCATTAGTGTGAGTTTAGGATGGGAATATTGATTTGTTATGTCATTAGTTTTGCTATTCTGTATTCAGCTTTAGGAAGTGTGGCAGTAACAGCACAAAAGTTTTTTCAATTCCATTCATCAGATTTAATGACAGTTAATGCGTACAGGATAGTGTGGTAAAAGCACACAGTAAAATTGAGAACATAGTTACAGTGACTTCAGTCCTGCAATTCCTATATTGTTATCGACCACCGTTGACGGTCCCGCCGGTTTAAGTGCAATCCTGGAGGCCGGTCAGAATCCTCCGTGGTTATTATTGCTGATGTGAAGCATGTTCAGCCCTTGTTTAGAGAGGAGGATAGTCTTCCTCAGAGGTGATATTGAGAAAGCACAGGGAAATGTCCTTTAGAGAAACATGATATTAGCACTGAAGAGAAGTTCTCTGATCGACAGTCCAGTGAATACTGAAAATGTCCTATATCATTCATCTTGTCTTATAGACAACCACAAAATTCTCTCACACCATTTAAAATAATTGAAACCAGGCTTGACATCATAATGAGAACATGTAGAACTAACAGAAGCACTATTAGAATGTTTAAATTACTCAGTTCTACTACAATTCCATTTGTTAAAGAATAAACACTATATACTAAATAATGAAATATACACAGCCACTCTTAAGTATAATAGTATTGTAGTATCTAACAGTGTTGGGGAGTTATAGATGTTTTTTGTCAATTAATCTTTTTTTTTTTTTTTCAGGCCCGAATTTCATATTTATGTTTTTGAATTGCATATAATTGCCATCTATTTGGATTACACAATTTTAACATAAACAAACTTAAAAACTTAATGTGATGCATATTTGTCAGTCATACATAAATGAAACAGGTACAATTTCTGCACTCAAAAAAATCATTTATTATTAACTATTTGCATCTATTTTTTATCCAAATACTCATTTTCAAAACATATGTATTCAATTTTGCAATCAGCATAGATTAGTTCATTGTGAAAATATAATTAGTAAAAAAAATATAAGCATTAAAATATGTCTAGCTGTGGAACAGGCAGTTATAGTAGTTGCAAAATGCATGACTTATATTGGATTTATTGATGATACATAATCTGGTTATTGTGTATTTAAAATGCAGTCAGTCTTTTAGTACTATTACAGACAACTGACCTGTTTCATTTATGTATGACTGACAAATATGCAAGTTTATTAGTTTGTTGATGTTAAAACTATGTAATCCAAATGGACAGAAATTTTCTATGCAATTCAAAAACATGAATCTTACATTTAAACCTAAATATTTTTTTTAAGTGTAGCTCAACTGGCTTTAATAGCTTATCCAAAAATCAGGTACTTTTTAGTAGTAGCAAGGCAATATGAAAAACCCAACATTGTAGATTTTGATATCACATTATCACCCACTGAGATACAGTAATCAGCAAACATGCTCTCCTAACATTACAGCATCTGATTTATTTTAGTAAATTAGTTAAGATTAGAAAAAAAAAAAAAAAGCATACAAAATTGACTAGTTTGAGCCCCTGTATGGCATTTTAAGTGCTTTGTTTTAAAATAGTGAAATATTTAGTTAAATGTTGCTTGGTTATACAAATTAGTGTATTCTGGTTTGTTGACATATTTAATGTAAATTCATCTGTTTATATTAAATCCAGTTGCTCTAATTGAGAGCATTCATTTAGTTATTCAAATTCCTAATCGTTTTGGTGCCGGAACAAGTACAGACCTGATTACACTTTTAATTAAAAAAGTGTAACTATCTTTTTCTAAATGACACCTATTTTAAATTAGGAGTGGCTTACAGTTTTAAAGTATCTCCCCCAGCACTGCTGGTTTATTATTTTATTTTATTTTTATTTTTTTTCTCAAGTATCTCTGCAGGTGTAAACAACAACAACACAATCAGAAATAGAAATAAAAGTCTTCTCTTTATGCTGGAATGAGAGATGTCAGTAAAATCATTCCACAACATTCTTTCATCTCTCTATCAAATCATTTCAACAAGTCTAAAATAAGCCACCTATTCTCTGGATGAACGCTTCTCTCCCTGAGAGAGAACAAGCCATTTGAATGCTTTAGAGTTTATGAAAAGGAACGCTTGATGAAGTCTTGGAAGATCCTGGTGATGTCAAATATCCATATTCAGGTTTATTAGTCAATTTTCTAACCGCTGCAAAATCCCATATTATACAGTGGGGTCCAAAGTATTGAGAAAATTAGCCCATAAATTACTCACCCTCAAGTCATCCTAGGTGTATATGACTTTCTTCTTTTAGACAAATCCAGTCGGAGTTATATTAAAAATTGTCTTTGATCTTTCAAGCTGTTTAATGCCACTCAGCGGGTTTTGCATTGCTTCAGTCCAAAAGCACTTAATTAAAATGCGCCCATCCATTAAAAAAAAGTGTCTCACAAGGCTCCGCGGGAGGGTGAACAAAGGCCTCCTGTAGCGAATCGATGCGTTTTTGTAAGAAAAATATCCATATTCAAAACGTAATAATCACTTTAATGTAGCTTGCGCCAACAGTTGTACACAGAAGCAGTTCTGGGAGCATGATGTATGAGTTCAGCGTTGCGCATGCGCCGTTGAGTCTCGTAAAAACCAACGTTTGTTAACAGGAGCAAAGGAAGCAAAAAACACATCGATTCGCTACAGGAGGCCTTTGTTCACCCCCCGGAGCCGTGTGACACACTTTTTTTTGTAATTTTAAAGTGCTTTTGGACTGAAGAATGCAACACCCGCTGAGTGGCATTAAACAGCTTGAAAGATCAAAGACAATTTTTAATATAACTCTGTCTGAAAGAAGAAAGTCATATACACCTAGGATGACTTGAGGGTGAGTAATTTATGGGCTAATTTTCATTTTTGGGTGAACTAACCCCTTAATGCTTGCATTCCCCATTAATGTTTTTAATGTTCAGATGTAATGTTTTCGTAACATAGGAATGTTAGCAAAATTTTCCTAGAGCATTTTTTGACAGCTAGAAATGTATGTCCTGCATTTAGTGGCTTACTACAGATTCATTATAAAAGCCATTTACCACCATTGAGACCGAGGAATGGATCATGCCTTTTGAAAAGGGTAAAAAAGAAAACCAGATAAAGGAGCAGAGCTCAAGAGTTTTCAAGTTTAAAAGAGTAATTTAAATGGGTGCAGATCTCCTCGCTGACACCAGTTGTTTGTAAAGTGATAAAGAGAAGTTAGAAGGGTCTTTTTCCCTGCATTTCTTTCTTTCTCCTGTCACGAACAGCCACAGATTTGGTCTTATCTCCAGACTGCTGGAGCCAGAGCGGGTCTGTGTGAAAGTTCACCTTTCTGGCTTCTCTCGCTATGGATTATTCCAGCTGTTTTCAGGAAACTTCCAATATTCCTGCTTCCTGTTTGGAGGATGAGCACATACGGCCGTTCTGTATCCGTGTGGTAAAAGTGGAATCCATCGAAGCAGAAACCATCCTGTCACACTTTGATAATGTTCACAGATGGCGTTCGGTTATTGTTGTTGTTCTTGGGGAACTGCGGAGAGTGGAAGAAGATGCCTAATGTTAGTGAGAGGATTGGAGGGCGGCCTGGAGCGATCAGCGGAGAACATGGTGCAATAAGTGGAGTAATGAAAAATGAAGGATGCGAAGACTGTTTCAAAAGGTAGGCAACATAATTAAACCAGCTTCTATGTTAACTGTTTTGAGCAGCATCACATGTATTGTTCTCAGAGAATGCAATCCTATAATGTATAGTAAAGCCCCGACAGTTGTTAATAATAATAATAAAAAAAGTATAATTAATTAATAAATCTAACAGTGTTAAAAACAAAACAAAATATACATACAAAATATACAGTAGTTCAGTATATTATGTTATATT